CAACTACCCACATACAACCTCCATGCACGGGAATTACTTCTCTAGCGTGCCTGAGTCCCGACCTCTTGCCTTTAAAAGCAGAAGCTCAGTTCGAATTACTCAATACAAACAGCCCAGATAATAACACCTCAATTAAAATTTGTTCCTACAAACCGCTTGTGAACAATGCGTTCGGTATTTTCCAGTCAGTCATCATTCGTAATGAAGTGAGTCCGACCAGGCCTCTAGGTCTCTTAGTCGTTCAACATACAGTAGCGGTCAAAAGTTTGGAAACTTTTTTATTTTTGATCTAGCGCGGCCGACACATAACGAAATTGTCCAAATTTAGATATTACATACAAAATCAAGTTCAGAATACGACGGGAAGAACAATTTCCAAAAACCTATAATCATATTTGAGAAATAAGATTTTTTTCAAGTAATGGCGCGTCAAAAGTTTGGAAACTTTTTGTTTCCCTCATCATTATGATTCCTACTCTTCAATGTTTACTTGTTTCTGTTAATTTTAGTTCAACCATTGAGTAATGTGTAATTTCAAAATGAATTCATATGCAAAGGAAGCAGTTTTTCCATGGGAGGTCCTTTTTTAAACCCTACAATCCGGAATACGAAATTGAAATTGTTTCTTAGTAGTTCAGTCTCTACGGAAGCAATATTATCGAATGTTTCTAGCGTTATTGGAGTCGAGTAAGCATAAGAAGAATGATCATTCACAAAAAAGTATCCTCATACCATAAATGAAACGATTGGCTCTCCATCCACCCACCCATAACTATCGAGTTGTCTGCTTGCCCGTACGCCCCGACCACCCCAACTAACAAAGGATCAAATGATTTTTCTGGTTTCTCGCTGCATTTCAATCCCCCTAGAAATCCAAGTGCGTGCCCACACATCGCGCGACCTGTCCAAAAAATATTACGTGATGACTGTCTAGACAGAGAAGTACACATTCGCTGGCCACCATAGGAAGCAGGACTGGATGTCCCACCTGGCCCCGCAGGACACACTAACGGCTAACTTGTGGGCCCATGCGTGTGAAAAGCTGAGGAT